TATACTATAAACATCAAAGGGACTGAGAAATTGTCTGGTTTACAGAGGTGTTCAGTCTATAGAGGTATTGTATACAGTCAAACCTGTCTAAACTGATTACCAAAGTTTGCCAAGTTTATAGAAGTCTTGAATAAAGTCAACACACCTAAACTAAACACTACTTAAAGGCACTGAGAAACTGTCTGGTTCACATAGGTGTTCAATTTATAGAAGTCTTGTATAAAGTCAACTAAACACCAAAGAGACTGAGAAATTGTCTGGTTTACAGAGGTGTTCAGTTTATGAAATGCATGACCAATAAAATTATGGTCTTACCAGGCATTTGTGGGTTACCATAGTTACTTGTACTGTGCAGGCTGTGCTGTAAATAGAATCAAAGCAGATAAGCAAGGGCAGGCTAGCCAGGTGACGGAATATAATCAGGTTTACAGAGATGTTCAGTCTATAGAGGTATTGTATACAGTCAAACCTGTCTAAACTGATTATCAAATGGACTGAGAAACTGTCTGGTTCACATAGGTGTTCAGTTTATATAAGTTTTGAATAAAGTCAACACATCTACATAGAACACATGAGACTGAGAAATTGTCTGGTTTACAGAGGTGTTCAGTCTATAGAGGTGACCAATGAAATTATTGTCTTACCAGGCATTTGTGGATTACCATAGTTATTGTACTGTGCAGGCTGTGCTGTAAATAGAATCAAAAGCAGATAAGCAAGGGCAGGGTAGCCAGGTGACATAGCAGATTGAATGTATTTATAGATGCATATAAGCATGTTGTCATTCCAGTAAAGGTTGAATAATTGTAGCTAAGCTTTTCTAACTGTAATATATCGCTCAAATTACTGACTTTCTCTCTTTTACTATTACATTCATTGTATATACATATTGCTATTAACCGATAGAAAATGTTATTTCTAAAGATGCAATAAAGATATTATTATTATTATTAAATGGGTGTTTTCCCCGGCCTCAACAGGATAGCTCATCGTTGTATTGATTTTTCCACAACTCTCTAGACTGTTTTAATATGGTAGCAATTTTATTTTGTACCAAAGTAACATAATTTAACAAGTTTTACACATTAAACAAAAAACAGTTTGCAAGTATCAAGTGCTTGTGATATAGTATATATCTACATCAGTAGTGTTGCAGGCTAGTTCGAAGCCTGTGCTGTTTCTCCCAAATGTGTACAGAGCAACATCACTGTACTATTAAGGTAGAAGCCTACTCATAAATTAAAAAACCCAGAATTTATTCATTTTGCAATAAATTGTACTCCAAGGCAGTATAGGGATATTGACTTGAAAAAAAGTTGGGGGTCACCAGCCTTATTTGCGGGATATTGATGGTTTTATTTTAGTGGAAAGTCTCCATTTTGACACTATCATAATGCTTTTACCATAGGTTCCTATGGCAGAGATATTATGCAATATCCCAAAATCTAGCCTGGTGACATAGGCTGACAAAATCATGTATTGTTAATGAAGGAGTACTTTTTGTTGTTCTGAATTTTTTTTAAAATCTGGGTTTTAAAAAGTGTTAAAAAATGCAATTTTTTTTTAACTTTGTGTTCTATGGAATTGTTCTAAAAATAGCGATTTTCAAGAAATAGTAAACACGTTTCTCAAAAAACTTAACTGTAACACACAAAATAATGCAATTTCATTGTACCATGGGACATTAGATTCATGATTGTACATAATAAACTAATGAACATTGTCATGCGATTTCTGACCAATTTTGTCAAAAATTGTGAGTAGGCTTCTATCTTAAATCGAACATTTGATGTTACTTATCAAATGGATACTTATCTTTGTTGCTACAATAATCAAGTACAATAAAATGATGAATAATCATGTTGAATTCGGACAAAAACATTACTTGACACAATCCTCAAATGGTCTAGTGCATAGTGCAAAATGGACCTTTTTTTTAGGAACAATTGTATATATTTTGACACATAAGAAGAAGTGGTCTGCATATAATTTACATGTGTTATTACCTGCTACTGGATTATCGTAATTATTGTATTGTCCTCCGGATACAGGCTGTCCTGTAATATAAATAAAACAATAGAAACAATACAGTCTGAGTCACATCATATGTACTCCTTTGCAACACTCTAACGTCAGATCTGCGTAAACTTATTGCCTTTATATAGAAAGAATGTTAAAGTTTGCATGTTTAGTTTTTCTGTACAGTGCCACTGAACATTAATATCAGTGCTTTTATAAATATGATACAATAAATGCATATTTTTGCTTAACCTTTTCACCACCAGTTTCCCATTTTCATCACAAATTCACAAAATAGTCCTCTTTATATTCTGCACTTTCCTTCAGAAGATTAATAACCAAATTTTTTGAGTAAAAACTTACCCAAATTGTGTCTATTGGCTCTAAAATTAGGATTCATTTCCAGAAATATGAAAGATTAATAGAAAAAAAATGTGGAAAAATTTGGGCGAGAAAGTCTGGTGTTGAAAAGATTAATGTTAACCCCCATATCCCCCTAAATACTGATCATTCAAGCATATGTTAACCCCCCTATCCCCCTAAATACTGATCATTCAAGCATATGTTAACCCCCCTATCCCCCTAAATACTGATCATTCAAGCATATGTGGTTGTTGCACCAAGCAGTGGGGATGGGCACTCAAATAAATTGACAAAGTTCTGCCACTCAAAATCAAAAGATCTACGTTGTTCTAGGGTAATTTTAGTCTGAAGAATAATCAAAAAATACTGAAGGTAGGTTGAGTAATTTTTTGAGAAAAAGTTGACCTGTATCTAGGAAACTTTGGGGGAAATATTTAATAATTATGCAACCCAATTGTGTACATTTTCTATGAGTGCCTTTCAGTATAATATAATAACAATTATCTTTATTGCGTTCATATCCCTATTAGGATTTTGACTAAAATGCAATACAGATGTGAATAAAGACAAACAAACAATTCAAGTGAGAATAAAAATACACACAGGAAAATAAAAAAAAAAACTGACATGTACATATCAACTTACCTGCTGGTTGGTAGTTACCATTGAAATCATTATTATTATAATTCGCCAACGACCTCGAAGATGAACCTAAAAACAAAAAATGTGATTATCTGTTAAGCTGATACCCGGTACACATTATCACTCTAGTTAATTACTAGTAAATGAATCTAAAGTTAGTTGGCTGCAGTCGACTGTAAATGCTGTTCTGGTGATTTATATGACAATTATATCAAGTCACAGTTTACCAATAGAACAAGGGCGATAAAAAACTGAAAAAAAACTGAGCGAATATGCAAATTGTGTGATGCATCAGAAATTAGTGACGAAAAGCATTACATAATGCATTGCACTAATGCTAAAATTGTTTTGTATTGAGTACATTTATTTGACAAAATTAGCTTTCCAGAGTTTGAAAAACATAATGAAGAATGTAAGTTCATATATTTATTACATATACATTCAAAATGACAAGACAAAATACAAATAAAGACAAAATGAAAGCATAATAAAATAAAATAGAACAAGGTCTGATTAGAAAAAAAAACAGAAACAGCAATGAGATATACCAATTATAACACAGTTGGTATTATTTTGTTTATCATTGTCACTTCTTAAATTGAAGCACTCAAAAATATATCTTGCCAAATGAATTACCAGTAGTTTTTGTTTATCTATTGTTTTAAGAATGTTGACCATATACTCCAAACACTGGTGGCACGCTCGAGATGCTGAATTGTTTCAGTTAGGACATCGAGTTACGAACATCAAGTTACAAAAATGACCACATCCATATTTTAGAAACCATGCCCTCTTTTGCAAAATCACATCTAAATTGTAACTCGATGTTCAATTAATAGTTAACCGAACTTCGAGTTATGGGCAATTAACATACATTTTTGATTTTAATTAACAGTTAAGTAACGGGCAACATAGATTTGTTGTTTTGTTCAAATTTAGTAACTCAGATTTTAAAAGAGCTAACCGATCTTCAAGTTACTGCAAACATCAATTATGTAAACATAGAGATACCTCCACATATATAAGCATATATTTTTATTTTATTTTAATTACAGAACATATGCAAATTGGTGAAAGCAAGGATGAATGGAATGAAAGTGAGAGCCCTGTCACAAGGTCCATAGTACCAAGAGCCAAATGATTTCCAAGACTTTTCCAGACTTACTTGTATTTTTCCCAAGACATTTTGACCCTTAATTCAGGCCAACATCACCAAAGCACATCAAAGTTCTGAGAATATGGTAGTTCCCTGGAGAAAACGGGCCATTTTAAAATGAATTAATAACTATGTAGAAATTTAAAGACTTTTCAAAGATTTTTTTTATTTTTTCTGTAATTTAAAGACAACTCAAAGACTTTCCAGACCTCAAAAAATTCAAAGACTTTCAAAGGATTTTCCCAACGCTATGGACTCTGTGTCAGAGTACTGTAAAATGACTAATTTTCACTCGGTATAAATTTTGCCGATTCAGCATTTCAGGCATATTCATTGGGTTATAAATTCTCGTATTCTATGTATTCTATGCTATGAATAATTAATCCTTTTACTATATGGTATCTTACGGACAGGCGATCTCTGGCAGAGATCAACACAACTTTATACGTAGGGCTATATATTGCCTATATGCTGAATAGCTCTGTGTACGTAGCTGATATTATAACCGTGCGACCAAGAACAAATATTTGATTTGAAATTGAACTATTCATAAATATATTGCTCAATTCCGCTTTTCAAGTTATGATAAACCTCACCTACCTTTGATAAACAATATCATGCACATTAATCCAAGAAAGTGTCTAAATCCAACATTTTGTTTCATTTTTATTTTGTTTATATCGACGATCCATGAATCCACCGGTCACATCGCGCTGAATATTTTGAATCGCGTTCCAGAACACTTTCACCACAACGTCATGTGATGGCGCTATTGACACTGAACTTTTTCTACACCAAGTTAAGGGGACTCTGTGACAAGATGGCGCTGGTGGGTAAACGTGGACCTGTATTTCTTCGTAAGTATATGCATTGCATTTCAGCGACTGTGTTGATTTTTTATTATGACACCATATTCCTTGCATTGGTAAAATGTTGCTGTTCCATCATTATTGCTTTCCAGTCCAACTCGCCCGGCCCCTTAGATTTAGCATGGTAGCGTTTCACTTTCCTTGGACGGCTGTCACTGCACGGTCGCTCTTTTTAACTTTTAAGTTGACTGGTTCGCAATAAATTTTGCGTACAATAAATAATGTGTGCATGCCCGACGTCTTATTTTCAACTTAGCGTATGGTTACTGAATGTACACAAAATTCGTTGTGTTTACATGTAAAAAAACGATAGCAACAAAACAAAACATTATTCTACAACACCAAAAAATACAAACAACATACTGAATATTTTTTTCATATACAAACGTGTTGTTTTTGCAAAATTCCTAGCTAACTCAAAGATTACTCAGTTATTTTGTAAATCAGATTTTTTTTTTTTTTGCTAAACTGTACTTTCCATTCTATTGTGTGTTGAATTAAATTATGTTGTAATTTGCTAATTCAAGATGTATAAATAATTGTAAGGGCGTTGGTTGTCACACCATGTCAGGTTGATATGGGTCCCATAACAACGTATACAATTTAATGCATAAAAAAATATTTTGATAGTTTCCAAAAACATTTTTATGCGCTGCATGACGATCAGAGTTTTTTCTAGACAAAAACTGCAAGAGGGAGCACTGGAATTCAGTCACGGTGGCGCCACCAAGTGGGGGAGATAGGGTTCTCCTTACCAGGGTGTTGAATTTTTGATAATTCTAAGTTAAAATAGAGCATTCTATGGCTTCCGTTGGGCCAAAATTACTATGAACAGGTAACAGTTGAAGACTGTGGCCACATGTGATCCCTGGTCATTCAGAATTTTATGGTTGTAAGAGGATCTGCTCCCCAAGGTAAGGGGGCACATGGCCATGGCATGAGGGCGCTGCACCCCTGTTCCCTTGTTAAAAAAAAAATCCCTGACGATGACCACCTTTGTATAAGTTCAAATCAAATTGAAGATTATTATATCAGTCATGCTTATCATACATATATTTTAGTTTGTTCATATCATCAGTACATCAAAGATAAAAAACACAAAGTTGGGTTCACAGGAAAATTTTAGAAATTACAGAAATAAGTAATATTTAAATGATCCAATAAAGAGTACAGTATGGTCTTACAAGGGTAACTTAATATGGCTGCCTTTAAGCTGCCTTGGCTTTTATTCTGCCAGCCCCATGTACTTTTACATTGACTTAACCAGGTTAGGCTGTATGCTGCCTTAGTTTGCTTTCAAAACTTACATATATCTGATATTGAAAACACTGTAGACATTCTTAAACACAAAAGATAAACAATCACTAATTCATTTGGCAAAATATATCTTTGAGTGCTTCAATTCAAGAAATAACACCCATAAACAAAAAATACCAGCTGCTTTATAATTTTTATAATTAATATAACTCATTAAGATACCTTTTCTGTTTTGTTTTTATAACCATTCCTTGTTCTCCCTGTTTTTTTTTTTAATTTTTATTTAATTATGTTTTCATTTTGTCTTTTTAATTCTAATTGAATACTCTGCCTATATATGTCTATATAAGCATAGGTAAATACTACAAGGAATAAGGTGAAATGATACTCACTTTTAAAAATTATGAAGCCTGCTGATAAAGCCAGCTTGAAAGTTATACCAGGATGGTACTGTATAAAGATTGACTTAACAAATTTGGATTCAAAGGCTTAAAGCCTATTCATAATTTATTTGAGAAAGCTTGCCCAAATATTTTTTTCAAAAATAAATTTCATAGAACTCAATGTTAGAAAAAAAATGCATTTTATGATTTTTTTTAAAACAAAAGTTTTTGAAATAATTCAGGACAACAAAATTACCTAATGATTTTTACAGCCTATGTCACCATATATTACTTATTTTTACCTTGCCATTTATTCGATGTTATCACCATATTTAAGATATGGCAGAGTTTCACTGCCATTAGCAACATATGGGAATTAAATACTGTCAAAATGACCACAAGCAACTAAAATACAACCATCTTTTTAAGCTGGTGACCCCCTAACTTATCCTTATATTGCCTTATATATCAGTAGAACTATATACTGTAGAATACTTTATTTTCGCTTGGAATTAATTTTCACTATTTTCGCTGTAGGGAATGGTTCAGTGAAAATAAAATCCAGCAAATATACTTTTTTTTTCCCTATATTTTACATTCAACTCAGTGAAAATAAATTCCATACAAAATACCCAAAAAGTCTTTTCAGCGAAAATTAATTCCAGCTATTAAAATAAAATATTTTACAGTATTGGAAAATAAAATTCTGGTATTTGCATTCATGAGTAGGCTTCTACCTTAATGCTATGTCGGTCACTAATATATTGTCATCAATAAATGTCAGTAATTGCAGTGTCAGATATTCAAATATCTTGTGTGTTTGGGAGTAGACAACCGGTGAATATTATTTGAAATCAGAACTAGCAATAACTGGAATTTTACTTCTTAAAATTTATTACTTACATATTATTTCTCGGGATGTCATAATTTTATTATTCTTAATTTTATTTTTAGGACCGGAATTCATAAGATGTTTATCACTGAGCACACCAAAATGGACAGACCCCCCAGCTGTTACCACCAGACCCCCTAAGACGGCTATTATGATGCTTAACATGGGCGGCCCAGAAACTGTCTCTGAAGTGTATGATTTTCTACACAGACTCTTCTCAGACCGTGATATCATTCCACTTCCATTCCAAAGGTAATTTACAATAATATTACATTGTAAAATGCAAATATTTTAAAATTTCTCATCAGCTATCGAATAGTTTAAAGCCTGGGTAAGATTGAAATAACATTTTCTTGTTAGGAAAGAGTTCCTTTTTGCACCCCATCAATTACGCTAACTTTAACCATCACCCCAATTCCTCCAATTAAATTGGGGAGTGCTGGAGGGTAGGGGTGGATTAGAGTTGTGAGTGCACTGTACAACATTTTATAATTATCTTTAATTATGATATACCCTAAAGTGTCTGTGATATATTTTTTTTATTAGACGCATAAAATCCTTAGGAAAGGATAAAAAGGGTCTTACAGAAAGAAATTAAAAAAAAAACTACAATCTAAAAAAGAAAACAAAAAATAAAAACTTTTCTAAAAAAAATAAAACAAGTCAAAAACAAAAAAGACAATTTGCAGCCAATGGTGAATACAGAATATGGAATGAACACAAAATGTGGCCTAATACACTGATAGTTGTTGCTGTTTTGTTCCATAGCTGTTTTTTAAGAAGACAGCTAAGGCTGGTGCTAGAGTATGGTTTCCCATAATCAAAATGAATTTATTCTGACTATTTTCTTTTTCAAAATTTGGAATTTTATTTTGTGCAGTCAGGAATAATTTGTCCCTATGGTGACTGTAAGCTGGACATTTCATTACAAAATGTTGCTCATCCTCAACTATATTTTGGCTGCACATATCACATGTGATATGCCCACCAATATGTTTATGTTTTTGGTTCCTGTTGCTGTGAAATGGACATTTGTAAAAAAGAAAATTACCGCACTGTACCGCGTTAGTGCCCATGCCCAGTCAAGTGTCCAACCCACCCCCACCCACCCCACTTTGGGGCAATTTTTATATTCAGGGTCACATTTGGCAAAGCGCCCACCCCTTCAAAATGCCACTAGTTTAAAGCTTGGTCTTTGATCATTGCTTAACGAATACTGGTAATTGTTTTTATATAATACAGTGTATATATACCGCGAGAATATGTTGTAGACCATGGTCATAATTGTTTTTATATGATACAGACCATGGTAACTACGCTTCAACAATGACCTAAAGTAAAAATGTGGTAAATATTTCATGCCAAATTTAGTTTACCTATCAAAAATTGCTAGTTACCAGTTTTCTGAAAAAAAAAACATGCCATTTATTCACCAAAAGCAATTCCAACAGATCATACTTAGACATCGATAATTCACTTCTGCATTGCATTACCAGAAAGTTTTCGAAAATTTCTGAAGAATTGCGTTGGTACAACACAGCATTCTGATTGGTTAATAAAAGACTTGACCCATTAGGTCAAAGGGTGTTGTTGCAGGTCAAATCATGCACGAATATATCATGGCGAAATGTGCTTTTCATTAAGAGTTTGTGTATAATCCAACACATTCGTCAGTGGAGATAATGATGAAGATTTTGACTTTGACTGTGTTCCAACAGACTCTAATATTTTTAAATTTGGATGGTATGTAATTAATATTGTATTAAAATGTGCATATTTTTTGTGATCAGTTCTGTTTCTTCATTGTAAAATGCATGCAACTGATCTCACACCTGGTGCTAAATCGGTCTAGTATGGTAAATAATAAATCAATTGGAAAAGATTTTGAGTTGTAGCCATGCCCCCTTCCTCTTCTTGCAGACAAGTCTTTCCAGCCTTCGAACCCCTCTCAAAATGAAACTGTGCTACTAAATGTCAGACGTAGCGGTGTGTGTTGCACACTGATTATCGTTATTATAGTTTTTACAATTGCATGAATTACAAGTATAGTAATGAAAAACATGTTTGTGTTGTTTTGTAAATTAATGGAGTATTTAAAGATCCATTAAATATGGAATAAATTCATTTGATTATATTTCTAAGATGCAGGAGTTTCACAAATAGCAGACCATCATCCTGTAATAACAGGCCAAAAAAATTATAAAAATTATAAAAAGGCTCTGGGATTCTGCTGAGGGCGCTGCCATGAACAGATAAGCGCAATGCACGTGGCTCCGTAGAAAGTTGAGTAAAATTTGCTATATTGGTTGTACAAACCCGTCTTAGAATAGCTGATGGCATGTCAGGAAGGTGGAATTGATACTTATTACAAAGATGCCAAATGGTCGAACGAGAGCAGAAAGGAAAAAACTGGTAGAAAGCCAAGCTGTATCTTCGAAGACGACGCCATTGGAAACTCGAGGTAAAATTACACACTTCATGAATAAAGACAATACAGTAATGGCAGGTGACGACAGCGAAGCTGACTTCAAGGAGTTCATGATAAGTACAATAACACGCATTGATCA